GTCGAGATAAATCGTAGTTACTACGACTCCCGCCCTTAATGTGTTAATAATGCGAGAGCCTACGGCGAAATTAGGACCTGACGGATTAGCGTCGGGATAGGCAGCGACGTAAGATTAACGATTCCGTCCGCGCGGGAGTTCGGATATCGCGTCGATGCATATCGCGGCTGTCTCGGCACGCGGAGAAGAAACGGTCGGCGAAGGAAGGGCGAAATTGGAATTAAAATTGCACGAGGCTGAATTTTGCACGAGGCCCGAGTGCGGAGGGAGGTCTCGGAATTCGGTAAACAATTTTGATACATCGGGCATACTTGCGCGCGCGCGCCCCGTCGATACAAATTTTCGACAATCCCCTCGACTTTTTATTTTATTTTATTCTCTCTTCCTCTCTCTTTTTTTTCCTTTTTTCCTATTTTTTTTCACAACGAGAGTCTCTCCAGTTGAAACGCAGCCGTCGAATCCGCGATGTTAACAGATCGATGTGTCAAAATAACGTCCGACGTAGTTTTCAATTTCTACGATTGAACGGGGCTTGGGGAGGGGGACGGGTGATCGAGAACGTGGGGGCACCTCCGTCGCGTGTCGTCGTGATTTACACGTTCTCCGACGGCGTGAGCGATATTTTTTGCGTCGCATCCCGTCGTCGTTTCGAGGCTCGGGAATTTATTAAAACGAGGAGGGGGGGGGGATATCATTCCGCGCCGCTCTTCGTCACGCGCGCGCGCGCGCGCCATGGCCACGCATTTGCATACACCGACCCGATCGTTTTAATTATTCGGCCCAGTCCGGCGCCGAGCGTTTTGCGACGCGAGGCGTCGTGACGCCCGTAATAAAAGCGGAATAAAAAATACACGCGACCGGCGCTTTTTGGCCGATATTGCGCCGGTATCTCTTCTCTCTTTCTCGCTCTTTCTTTTTCTTTTTCCCTCATTCCCGCCTTTTTTCGTTTGACGAGTTTGTAACTGCCTTCTCCCTCGAAAGAGCGTAATTACCAGATGGTAAATAGCGTGTTTCAGTCTTTAAATAGGATCGCCGTTTCGCCCCGCCCGCTGTTTTTCATAATCGCAATACAATTTTCCGCGGTTCCGAACGCGCGCCAAGTATCCTCCGTCCGCGGCCACCAACGAAGACCACGTACGTTTCCCTTCCATCTTGTTGCCGTAAAAATCCTCGGCTCTCCTCGTCCGTCGTTTTATTCCCGTATTTTTATATCGCCCTGACGAGGAAAAGGAGGAGACTGAACAGAGAGAGGGAGAGAGAAAGCGTGAAACGGCGTTTTAACTTAACATTTTTACGCTGTCGGGGAAAAACGCGGAATTACACCTCGATACCACCGAGAGATCCACCTTACATGGATATTATCCGATAATAATCCGGCTGTATGATCCAATAATTACTCCGGCTAAAAAGATCTGTCGCTCCGAGCGGCGGAATCTGTGTAGTATCGCTCATTAATCGGAGCGCGTATCTCTTTTCCCCCCTCTCTCTCTCTCTCTCTCTCTCTCTCTCTCTCTCTCTCTCTCTCTCTCTCTTCTCCTCTGTTTCTCTGTTCGCTCGCGCGCCGAAAATTTATTTGTTTGCGTCCGCGTTATCCACACGCGCGCACGCCCCCGTGGGCAAGGCGAAGGGAACGAACAAGCGCGCGAAAAGGCCGAACGAACGGAATTAAGCGGCCGGAATAAATTGCGCGCGGCTAAGTCGGCCCGTTGGCGGCGCGCTGCCGCGCGTAATTAAATTAGCATGGGGAAATGTTCCGTGCGTTAAATGATTGTGTAACGGAACGCGGGACTCTTTCGCGGCCCGGCGCGCCGGAAGCGCCGCGAATGAAACGCGCGGGTCCTTTTTTTTCTCGCTTTCTTCCGCCGCCCGACTTTTTTCTGTTTTTTGCGGGCGGCCCGCCACCGAAAAAACGAGCAACGCGCGTCGCGAAATACAAGGGCGCGCACGCGAGCGAGCGAGCGAGCACGTTTCAGTGAACATCAGCGACTCGCGAATACGCGGCCGCAACGGACAAAGTGCGATAAATATGCAACCGCGCGTTTTTTTCAAGCGACGTAATATCCGAACGAGGACGCCAACAGTGACGAAATCTGCGCTGAAATTTCTACCGCTTTCCCAGCGAATTCCACGCGACATTTTTCAGCATGCGTTTGTCGCCCTTTCCCCGTAGGAATAATCGCGCGTTGCACCGGGGAGAGACTCGCGAGGAGATTCCCGAAGAAGCCCCCGCTAGGAATGTTGTGACACGATGAAAGGATCGGTACTAAAATTGAAACGGGTGTATCTAGTCGAGAGTATCGATATCATTAATGGTATTTACAGATAGAACAAAAATATCGATATTGGCGTCGAAATAAAAAAAAACTTAAAATTAGAAAAAATAAAAAAATCGGGAGAATGTTTGTTTTGCAAACTATTTTTAAGGGTTTTGTATGTCTATGTGTCATAATTTTATTACGATACAAAGATACTTTTACCTTCTTCACTAGACTGAAATGTAAATTGTATGTTACATTAATTTTCATACGGCAAAAATATAAATGATATCTTGAAGATCGACTGAGTAAAAAGTTAAAAAAAAAAGGATATCGAAGCAGCAGTACTGATATGGGTATGAATATCGAAAGAAAATATCGCTATAAAAATACCTGATTGAAAGAAAAATATTGACACCAGTATTATATCAGTAGTATCATAATATCCCTAGTCCTCGCGTAAATACTTAAAAACGTGGACTTCGATTATTATTTCGAATTAAGATTTTTTCATTGATCGTGTAATTAATGAGAGTCGGTACACAGTTGAGATAAATGAATCGTGGAGTATTCTTAATAAGAACTAAAAATTTTTTACATAAGATATCTTTAACTTCGTACTAAAATGCACAGACTCACGTCTATTTCGCACGTGCGAAAACAATTTTGAATATTTTTCAGACCGTTGTGCGTCAATACAATTTTAATAAACGAACGCGCACATTTTGTATTGCAGAGAGGACGATCAGATAATCGGCTCTTACTTGGAGATCCAGAACGTCCTTTTCACGGATTACGGAGAGTACAAGTGCATAATCAGCAACAGCGTCGACGAGGATATCACGTTGACGGCTCACGTGTACGAACAAGGTCAGTAAGTTTGCAAAATTTTCAGCTTCTCGCTCGCCGTCGCGAACGTTCCGTTCACTACAAACGCCGCGATTTCAAGCTAGAGAAAACATGAAAAGTTCTAATCGAAAATCTCGCGTCTCTCGACGTCCGGATACATCAATTTGACTAATTTATTTGCCATCTTATGCATAGACTTGTATACGATTGCCAATAAGACGCATTTAATTTAATATTTTACTCTTCGCCGGTTATNTTTTTTTTTTTTTTTTTTTTTTTTTTTTTTTTTTTAATTCGACGCCGAAAATCGAAGTTTCTGCCGGGATTAAATGCGAGGGTACAGACGACAAGTGAAATAATCTTGCATGTTGTTTACAGCGAGGCTCCGTTATTGTTAATTATGGCTCGAAGCAAAATGCATCCAATTAACCCCGATGCATTATTCGTGCGAAAACAATCTAGCGACGAATTCATTTTAATAATAGCCGGAAATTCCCGGAAAATATCTACGGCCCCGCGAGCCCCGCCGTACGACCGTTACGCGCGATTTACTTTTATCGATTTTAATTATTATACGGGACGACGCATCGTCGGGAATTGATACAAATTAGTTTCAGATAAATTGGCGCGGAACGGCATCAGCGTCGATAAAATTTCATTTTTAAATCAAACACAGATTTAATTTATCGCTAAATTTAATAACGCGATGTTTACGTCGTAATTCTCCATTGTACCCTCTCGACATCGATGCACTTGACGAAAAACAAATATCAGAAAAAAAGTTGCAATGACCCTTCGTTCTAGCGTGAGAGAAATTCCCGTCTTTGATTGGATTCGAAACATTCCGGGGTTGAGCAATTTTTTCATCGGGGGTTTCGTGTATTGTTTTTTATTATATTTTTGCCACTAAATTTCTCAGCGAATTTTTTCGAGCGGAAGAGAATACATTTTTCAAACTTCTGAAAAACGAAGAATAATCCTTTAATGAACATTATGTGTATTTATTTATTAGAGAAGAAGATATGCAGTGTCGCCACATTTTTATAAAGATAACGTCCTAAGTAATAAAAATATTTCATAACTTTGAGTCTAGAATCGAATGAGCAACACTTTGATGAATATAATCGTTGAGTTTTCAATTAAAAACTTTCTTTTTTAACCATTTTGATTCTTAACAATACTGTACAAAATGCGCCATAATACCACCTTCTCCTCTATTATTACCATTATTATTTTTCGTTGTTATTTTTATTCTTATTATTACAAGTCTGATGCGATAAGAGAGGTGCTCCTTCCCGATTGTTGCAGAGCCGCAATTCGTGCTGCACCTTCCGAACGGCTCGGAACGTAAGTCGCTGCTGTTGGCGGTTCTCGTAGTCGTGCTGCTGGTGTCGGTCGCCGCCTTTTACACACGCTGCTGGCTGCCGGTCGCGCTACTCTACAGAGACAAGTTCGGTCGTCTCGAGGAAAACGGTGAGTGCATAAGTCGCGAGTAACCCGGTCGGGATTGGCGTCCGATTGCTGGCACTCCGGCAAATTGCGCGACTTCTGAAGCCTTCGATTTACCTTGGAAATTTGGATCTTCCGGAAGGAAGGCCGCCGGCAAAGGCGGGGACAAGAGCAAAAGGGGGGAGGAAAAAATCCTCCCGAACTTCCCGGGGAATCCGGGAACTCCCGGGAGCCGGCGGGGATCGGCGTTTAATTTTCCAGGATCAGAAGTTAAGCTCGCCCCCGAGCTCGGGCTTCTCGTAACTCGAGAATTCCAGCCTCTCGCGACGTCGAAAAACGCGAAGTCGCGCTCGCGAACACGCGATTGATCCTCCTGGCGGGATGTACACACCACGAATGCAACACGACGTTAAATTAAACCCCCCCTCGCGCGGTCTGAAAATTCGCAAAACACAGGAATCCCATTACGGAGGGAGCGAGCGAGCACGCGCCGCCGCGGAACGGCGAAAAATTCGCGGGGCCGAAATCCCTGGGATTCCAAAAAAATTCCACGACGTCGGAGCAACGAAGAAGGGGGAAGGGGGTGGCCGAGGGGCGGGACAGCAGGGGGGAGAGAGAACGGGAATTTAATTTTCTAGGCTCGCGACTCAATTTTCTTCCGCCGCGAACTTCTCCAATTTGGAGATCGGAAGCACCGGCGGAATCTCATTGCCGCTGTGACGAGTATACGGTGTGACGTAAAACTCCCCAAGTCGCGGATCCAACAGGATTCACCCTAATCCTGCGACTAAGGAGATCCTGATGGGAGACCGAAGATCCCTCCCCCTCGCCGCGTCGTTATTCCCCCTCGCCGGCGCTTGTCTTTTTTTCTCTCTCACAGCGACAAATTCACCGCGGCGACGCGAGACGACGGGCGGTGGAGGGGGAGAGGGTGACCGGTAATTATCAGCGACTTTTTTTCGCCCACTTAATTGCGACTCTTAATTACCGCGGGAAGTACCCGCGACTCCGTTCCGCCGGCATGGAAATTAAAGTGGCTGTTCCTTAATCCTTTTTTTCCGTCCCCTCGCCGCCGATTGTGCCTTAATCCTTCCGGCTTTCTTTCCTGCAGTCTCGCGCCTCCCCCCCCCCCCCCNNNCCCCCCCGTCGGTCCCCGATTTGTTTAAATAATGCTGATGAAGGAAAGAGGAAGGTGTTGGCCGAGTCCTCTTTGTAATCCTTTTCCGGACATTTGCGTTTTAAAATCCCGCGAGGTCCTTTTTCTCGTCTCTTTAACTGCGTCGTCGGGCATCTTGTGTATTACAAATTGAAAAGAGCGAATTTTCGACGAGGTTACTCATCCGCATCGGGAAGAAAGGGAGACCCCCGGGGTAATCTCGTGAGAGGACCTCGTGCGGTAGTTCTCCCTCTGTTTCCGTTTTACAGCCGTAAAACGTCAACGAGCGCTGCGATTCGAAGTACGTGCGTAATTCAGAACGTATGATTAATTTATCGTGCTTTTCACAATATAACTCTCTGAGGCAAGAACGAGAAAGATTTACACTCGAATTTCGCTTTTCGGCTTACGACGATAAAGTTTTCGTACTTGATATTTTTTAATTTCTGGAATTTTTTAGAATTAAACGCGATTCTAGAGACAAGCGTGTTGTAACTCTCGTCGCAGTCTCGGTGAAAAACCGTCCGAAAAATCGCGCACAAGTAGCTTCGTCGCTAAACCGGATGCCGAAGATAACATCTCGGGAAAAGACCTCGTCTGAGAAAAAATACCGATTTATCTCGAATGGAGGTCAGGAAACGAGAGCGCGCCGGAAACATAATATCGCGAGCTGATGACCGCCGTGCGCCGAACGCGTCAGCAGCTGATCTGGATAACTTTTTCGGCTCGGAATTTCCACTCGGGATCAATTCGCATGCCGTTTCTTGAGACACCGAATTATCGGTTTAAGCAGAAGGAAGGACTCGGTAATTTTTTCAAACCGCCGCACTCCGGCGCAACTTCTCAGTTCTTCCGGGAGGGGCCGCCCGTGGAATTCTTGGAAAATTCGCACCTGAAAGCGAAGTTTCCAGCGCGGGAACGCGGTTTTGCGGAAAAAATTGGGCGAAATTTTGGTGAACAGATATGATAAAAAACGCTGATAGAAGCGGTAACGCGCGCGAGGAGTTTCGCGGGGGAAACCGCTAAATTCAGTTTCCGCTGGAATTCGGCCGAATTTTAATTCCTCTAAAAGCAAGGAGGGAGGGGAGAGAAACGGGGGGAGAATTTTTGCACGTACAAAAGACGGGACAGCGTCGTTTTATTGCCGTCGGATGAGTTTCCCCGAGAGGAAGAGTGCGCGTAAATAGGAACCTCGATTTAGTTGGAGGTTAATGAGCTGCGTTCTTTTTCTTTCCTTTCCTTTCCTTCTTTCTTCTCCTTCCGTCGCCTCCTTTTCCCTCCCCCCCCCCTCCTCTTTTCTCTTTTTTTCTCCTTCTTTCGCTTACCGCCGATCGCACTTTAATTCTTCCCGCTCTTGCAATTTGCTTAAGTAACGCTAATTCCTGCCGGGCGCAGAAACTTTCAAAGGATTTTACGCGGACTCCACCTCGATGCCGCCGTTCTCCAGGTGCTTCAATATTTCAAACGTGCTGTAATATGAACGGTGAAACGACGTAACTCGTTACATCGAAACTCTCTCTCTTGTCCCCCCTCTCCCTCTCTCTCTCTCTCTTTGCGTATTATGTTTAGCAGTTATAGCGAAACTATTGCCGGCCTTTAATCGCGTTCTACGATTAAAAGTGGTGGAAAGAGATAGATAAGACATGGAGCTGAACGAGCAATTGCGTGGTGAAAAGGAGAAGGTGAAGGAGGAAGAGGAAGTTCCGTCGGTTTCCCACGCGCAGTTTGGCGTCCACACCAGAATTGTCTCGACGCAACAAAGGCTCGTAATTTAGGAGAATTGAAATCGCGTCCCCTAAAATCGCGCCCCCAGGAATAGCGTTTCTTTCTTCGAACCTCGGGAATCCAGTTTCGGCGCAGTTGGATTTCCCCCTTCCCCTTCCCTGTTTCTTTATTCTTCCATGATTCTTGGAACTCGTCTCTCTGGAAACCGAAGATCGTATGTCCGAGACGTTGGAGAGAATACGTATTCATTCCGAGATCATGTTTCCCTACATTTAGACTTCCTCCTTCGGATTTTGTCTGCGACTTTTGGTCCTTCGAGCTCGCATGTATCTGTTCTCAATCTCGTCGGAGCTAACGAAACGCTAGTTGAGCGTTTAAATTATTTATCTTGTTCAAGTTGCTAAAGTAACATATGGTGTGTTAAGTTTAGTTAATATCGCCATCAAATCAAGAAGATTTGCTCCAAATTGGGATCCATTCAACAATTATATCACGCTAAATTTGGATATTTTTGCCTCCCCTCCCCCCTGGCTTCATCTCAAAATATTTGCCTCCTTCCAGTATTTTATGACATACGGGATTACTCCCCATCCCGCAGATACAGAATACAAAAGTTATAATCATATAGCGAATGATAACTATTAGATTGTACATTACCTTTTTTCTAAAATATAAATAATTTTCAGGCATTTAATATCAGATCAAATATTTTATTCGATAATTCTGATTAGTAAAAGTTCCGTTTTTAATAGAATAAATATTTGAAATTTAACATTTTGATTATTAACACAAAACCATGTCAAAACTTAAAAATTTTCACGAAACGTAACCGAATATGTCACGAATGCGAACGAAGTGGATAACAACCACGCGCATCCATATTTACAAGTTATGCCATCTGATGTGACGTCCCGTGACCTTTACCCCCCCCCCCCCCAACCATCACAGATCGTCCCGCAAGCTAATAGACACCTTCCCCCTTCATGATGTAATGTAATTGTTCCTTATGGCGCTGTTGACGGCTTTATTGGTGCGCTATCGCTTCGTGTGAAAATATTTTTCATTTATTTCGTGTGAGATTCCACTTCAAGAAATTTAAAAAGCAACAACTCCTTTGTAACGAATCCACCCCGTTATCGAAATTCGTCCAATCGGATCTTTACCTTTGTGCCTTCGTTTTTTTCCCTCAAAATACCTTAACGCTATCGTCCGATAACAGCATTCGTTTTACCACGCAAATAGATGGCGAAATATTTTTCTCCGCAACTATACCATTCGGTAAGGTGGCGGACACCTAAAAGTGTCGTTCGTCGTTGGCGGTCGCGTGACAGGGTGCGTCTGTACGACAGACGGTCCGTCGTTTCGACCGACAATCTCGCGATCCCAAAGGATCGATCCCTTCAAGACCTTGCCGGTCGTCCGGTTTGCGGAAGTCCCAACTTCGGGCGTACAAACGTCGTGCTCGATTTCTCCTTCCTCCCTCCCCCCTATTCCCCTTACTTTCCCTCTTTATCACCCTCTTTTACAATGTCAGTTTTTTATTTTCATTATATACTTGTTCTTTATAATATCATAATACTTACCTATATAATACTTATTTCTCCGGTTTCCCTTTCTTTTAATTTTGTAAAACTTCCGATTCAGTAGCCAGTCATAATAATGTATAAAGAAACTGTAACCCCAGGGCATAAAACCACTCTCTCTCTCTCTCTCTTTGTCACGACGGACAAAGTGTCCCATGACGACGCCGCCTTATAAAACGACTCGGGAGAAAATTACGACGATTACCGGCGGATTCCCGGAACGCGCGCGAGACATCTCTCTCTCTCTCTCTCCGTGCTTCCATCAGGTAGGAACCCGGTCGCAAAAGCGAGGTGAGCGAGCGAGAGGGCCCAGGATATACCGTCGGCCGGTTTCTTTTCTCCGGCACGGCGAGATCCTCGGCGACGCGACGGTATCATTTCTGGCCGCGGCCCCGGCTAATGATATCTCGTTGCATGGCTAATGCTACGCAAATTGCGGTCCCGGATGATTGGGGCCCGGCGACGGAGACGACTGCCCGATGCTCTCCTCGACTCTACTACCTCGAGACGTGCGAGACGGACACGTCGGCGGGGCTTTGCAATCGGGTTCCCGTCGAGCGTCTCGGTCTCCTGAAGCAATCCCGGCTCGTGACACGGTTCAATGGGCGAGTCTTGAGAGTCATTCTAGTAGTCGCGACGTACCGTCCGTCGTCCGTGTTTGTAATTGCGATGCAGGCGTCCACGAGACGTCCAGGGTTCCGAACTTCCTCCTCAGACATAAGCCGAGTCCTGTTCTACGGGCCGCTCGATAATCGATTCTCGAGGAACCGAGGACCTCAGCTGTGGCAAACACTCCGCTCGCTCGTTCCGACAACGTTCTCACCTCGCTCGCTTTGAGGGTTAATAAAACGACGGTCCTGTGGTTACTTCTAATTCTTTTAGTCCCTACAAAGACATTTTCCGTCACTTCCGTTCTCTCTTTCTCTCTATCTCAGTCTTATTACCGTCTCGAACTCTCATCGTTCGTGTCACGACAACCGCGATACAGAGCGAACGAACGAGCATCTACGAAAGCTGGGAAAACTCGCTCTCGTGACGGGATCCTTTTAGGGGGATTAAAGCGAGGAAATTTCTCGCCAATCGAGAGAGAAAGAGAGGGGGGGGGGAGATTACCCAAATCATGAAAATTTCATCCGAGACATTAACACGTTCGCTACTGCGCTTAAATTGAAAGTCGCTCGCTGTAGCCCACGTTATATTTAATACAGGACAGATGTTTGAACTTATACGATGTTCACATGTGTTAAAATATATTAAGTAGACAAATTTACATGTGTAAATCTAGTCTCTGATGACAGATCGTTGCCTTACACATGTGCGATATATTAGTAGCGAACGTGTTAATAAGGAACGACGAAAGTTCTTTCTGACGTTATCTTATGTTATCTTTAGCGCGAAGCAACTCACGAATTTCTTGAAATGAAATTTTCCTCGAAATTGAAAAGTGAATTTGACGTATTCCACCGTCACGGGGACAAATTCACCCCAAATTCACCCCAATCGATTGAAACATTCATTCGCATGGAGTGAGAATCCACTTTAAGCTTGAGTGGAATATTCATTCTCTTTCGAGTTGCAGTATATTTATTATCGTTTCAAAAATACTACCACTTTTCACTTGTTTTGTATGAGATTCTATTTCGAGAAATTTGAGAAAGAGCATAAATATCCGAATTAGTGTGACAAAGTAACCTCATGGTGAAAATTACTTAATATGTTATAATAATACATGTATTATAGGTACATAATATTTACTTTGCCCGGAAGTTTGAACATTTGAGGCTCTAATTGTATTAGATTTTCTTTTAATTTATGATGAGGTTCGAGTTAATTGAAATGTTCTCAGAAGTAACGAAAGTACTATTTAGTGGCATGTAACTTCAGGTTAACAACTTGTAAATTATTCTTTAATCTTTCCTCGACTTTGACAGTACGATTTTAATCGCGTGGGATTAAAACGATTTACAAAGAAATATCAAAAAGACGCCTTATGTTACAACTTCTAAGATGATTCGGCGAATAACTATTCGAATTGTCACCGTTAACAGCACGTTTATGATTATAACACAGCACTTTTATGATTATAATATTCCCACATTCACTACGGTATTTAATTTTATTCTGAACTTGTTATGACAGTATATTAATATACAAAATTTAGAGTGAAAGAAAAAAACATATTTTTAACACTATGCCGTCCGGGGACACCACGTTGGTGTCCCGCGAAAACTATAGCGCAAAGGCCGGCGACAGCACTGTGGTGTGCCGTTTGTGTTTTGATTGTGTACTGTTGCTGTTCTGTTTGTATTCTGTTTAAGTAACAATAAGTTACAGACATCATGATTCGATCGACTGACTTTCCGGTCGGCTAAAGCAACACCAGCTAATACAAATTTCCGAAACCGACAAACGAAAACGAAGAAAGTGCCATGTATGTTCTAAAAACAAAAAAAAGAAGGACAACAAATTTAATGTGTAAGTCTTGTTGAGTCGCGTTACACCTCGGAGATTGTTTTGCTTCATATCATCTAAAAGAGAAATACTAAGTACCCAATAAAATATAAATAAATAAATAAATATATAATACAAAAAAATGTTACATTTATTTACCATATATCCTCGAAATTTCATGAAAATAGCGGGACAGGATTGAAAACTAATGAGAACTGACGATTTATGGTCTCCCGAAAACCTCGAGAAACCGCCGGCGACAAGCGAAATGATCAGTCCTACCGGCGCCAAACAAAAGAATCCCGATTGGACGTGCGGACGGCATAGTGTTAAGATAAATATGGAGCTATTTTATTTGGCTTATTCACCGTAACTAATTGAGAACATCCATCTTAATAACCGTTGTAGTAAGTATCCCGTTATTGAAATTTGCCGATCGGATCCTTATCTTTCTCGCTCGTTTTTCCTTCAAAGCACCTCGCGCTATCATCTCCGCGTGCTGTCATTTCGTCTGCGTGCGAGCCGATAAATACTTAGGGATTACGGCGAGAAGAAAAGGAAAAAAGGAAAAAAAAACTCTGAATCGGCGATCTCCTTTACCGTCGGCGCCGCCGGTTGGTCCAGGCGTTACTTGCGCGTCATATAAGCGCCTCAGCGCTATTACGGCGCACATTATTTATCTCTATGGGACGCTTTGCACGCATAATGGCGGCCGCAGCGATAACGATTTAATCTATTTCTGGAGTGAACGGTTGCGCGGCGCTCGCGGGCCGCCGACTACTATCGGAATAAATTTCGAGTAAACGGAAGCGATAATGCGCGAATTATTGCCCACCCCCGGCCGCTCCCCCCCCTCCGTCGTTCACCCTCGCGCCTCCCACCCTCGGCGCACTCGTTCCGTTCGCGAGCTCGCATCGAAATTCGTATTCTCGCGCGCGAACACCGCCAAATTTCCGCTTTATATTCATAAAGCGGCCGCGAGGAGACCCATCGGGGCTTCCCGGGGGATACCGCGACCGCCATCCCCTTTTATCGTGATAAAGAGCGCGGGAATCATTTGTCCTGCCGCGCGATGAACCTGACGAGCCTCCGGATCGATGCTCGAAGACGTCGACGTTGCATCCCCGGTGGGAGTTGCGACGGTCGATAGCGGCGGCATTCTTATAAGATCCCTCGTGTAGAAGTTATTCTCGCAATGGCGTTTTCAATTGTTTTGCGCGCGTCTCACGTGTATGGGCCGTTTATACCGGGATGAAAACTGGCTAATTTAACGGGATGTCATATTTGAAAACTTCACCGACAGGATATTGCTTTCCTTTCTTTCTACAAAGTTTACGTCTTACTGATTGCACAGAATTGTATAAATAATTTTATACGGTGAAAATACACACGAAAATGAAGTGAAGCACTGTTCAATGTGAAAGTGATTGAAATCTTCAGCTGTCAGTTTGCGCAAATATTCACCCGAAATCGGGCAGCTTGTACGTAGCGAATGTCGGTGCCTCGATCAGGAAAATTTGATAAAGAACATTTTTATATCATCTCAGTGAAATTTAGAAATCTGAAAGGTACGAATAGTTGGTATAAAATATTTTATATATCTTGGTTAGATTTTTCGTATATGATATGATAAGATAGAGAGACACATATCATTCACATTTATATCGCACTTACATTTACATGGGATCTGTATGCATGAGAAATACTGAAAGAGTAGCCGTGATCGTCTCAGTTTATGCAACATACAATTTTCGGGATCGTCCTTACGACACTTATCAAATTCGTCATCGGCTTTGACTTAAATTATAAGATTATAGTCATTAAATTATAGCCATTTCCGATTCCAACTATATTTTCCCGTTGTCTCGACAAAATAGTTCGAGTAGCAATTGAATACAAGGTTGTTATCATTAACACACTGGGGCAATTCTTATTACAGAAATAGATTCCCGATTATAATTATTTTACTTTACACTGCGTGCAATTATAATTTACAAATTACCGGACCCTCCTTTTCTCAGTTAATTCTTAATCAATTCTAGTCAATTCCTTCTCAGTCAGTTCACACGCGTATCGCATCCTGTACGACACACGCGTTTGTGCAAAAGCGCGAAGAAGCGATGAAAATGATCGATCTGATTTTAATTGACATTATTCCATCCTTCGTCTCTGCCCGTCTCTTATTCGCTCAGAGACACCTCTCTTTCGGGGGTTTATTTCGACGGTATAATCTCGGCATAATCCCCACGGGGTCGCGGGCTCCGATCGTAGAGGCGGGAGGGGAACTCGCCGCTTTTTAATAACAGCGAGTTTAATAATGGGGAATCGCGATAACCGGCGCTCAGCTGCTCCCCTTCCGCCGTCGTTTTCATAATTGTAACCGCGTAGCGGATTCGGCCTCGGAGCCGAAAGAAACTGCAACGGCTTCCATTCTACTTACGAGCCTTTAAGAAGTCGTTCGCCGGTCTCTCGCGGGACCTGTCTCTCTTAGACGGAACGTCCGTTTTACACCGGCTCTCCCGGGGAGAGCGCTTCTCGGACGTCTTTCTCTCTCTCTCTCTCTCCCCGGCGCGCTTTTAAACATCTTCCAGGCCGCTTTCCCATCGTCTTCACGTGTGCATGTATTTATCTATACGTATACGCGTGTATTTGTTGTTCACGTTGTAATCACGATCTCGCATGACTGTGCATTGCAGACGGGAAAGACTGCGACGCGCTGGTGTGCTACCACGAGAAGGACTCGAGCCTGGTGATCGGCAAGCTGATATACAAGCTGGAGTCCAAGCATCGTTACAAGTGCATGCCGCTGGAGCTGACCAACCTGCATCACAATTGTAAGTACCTTCGTCCCGCTAATTAGCGGCGATCCCGCTCGTCGTCGTCGTCGTCGTGCAATTACGTACTCTCGGCGGAGGTACCACCTTGAGTAATCGCCGCTCTGAATACCGGATTGTACCGTTCCTCGCGTACGAGGAGCAGCCTCCATTTTCCCCGCTTCCCTCCCCCCTCCCTCGCTCCCTTCCGTCGTGAGCTATTTTTAACGCCGACGCGAGAACCGGCGCGAGGTTAATCGGCGATTCGGACTTCTCGGAAATTCGCCGCCTCGCTGCCGAAAGGCGAATCACCGCTGCGAATTGCGAGGAAAAGATTTAATATTGTCTCCCTCCTCGGTGTTTTTAATGTCCCCGCGAGGAGAGACGGTCGGGGTGGAGGGGGAGGAATCCGGAGAAGAGCGTCTCTCGCCGGCGTTTCTCAGCCGCGCGACGAGGCGGGTCGCCGCGCATCGTCGGGAATCGAGCAACTTCGCACTCGCGCGAACTTTCGAATTTCCGGCGAATTTACGCGCCGCCCGGAACTTCTTCCCCGGGTGCCGAAGTGTCGTCGGGCTCGTGTTCGCGACACCCCGTATGTGCGATTCAGTAGCGGCGAAGAGATCCTTATCGTGTTACGTAAGAGGGACGACGAGAATCCCGTTAGAGAGGCGAAAGGAAGAAAAAAAAGGGGTGAAACGGAGGAAAACAAACGACGACGAGGGAAAGGGAAGAAAAGAGCCGGGGAAAGGGGACAAAAAGAGAACACGAAACCGGGCGAAAAGAGAGAAAGGGGGGGGGGGAGGAGACACGAGCTACGACGGTCTCGATAGAGTCCCTATGGGGTTTATTTTGTGGCGCATCCCGCGGCGATGCGCGGCCCGCATGCAGCATGCAAATAAGCACCGGCGGGAGGTAAATATTCAACGGCGAATGTGGGCCACGAATTGCGGGCCGCCGCTCCGCTTGGGACGCGGGTCGATAAGTAATTTTACAGGGGGTTGGAGTTTACGAATTACGTCTGAATAAAAGCCGATTTGAATAAGCGACAATCGGGATCGCCGTCGTCGTCGTGCGGGGTTGGATCAGCGCGTCGAGAGTGCGAGAAGAGGCGAGGATCGATCTCTCGGCGAGACGCGGGAGAGTCGAAATTAGAGGCGGGCGCGTATTACGAGCGAATGCGGCCACGTCCTGGCGGATGATTTAATTAACGTGTCGCCGGCGCACGGATTATGGCCGCGCGAGGATTCGCGCGGAGGCGAGGCACGTGCGGGACGCGAGGCGTCCGAATCGCGACGATGGGACAGCGGGAAGAATCGGGTCTCCCGCGAGGGCTCGCGTTTCACGGGGCTTAAATGGAGAGACCGTCGCGGGACCGCGCGAGAGAGAGAGAGAGAGAGAGGGAGGACGCGCACCGGCAATTTAAATAGAGATTTAATTTAACTCCCGGGGTATTAAAAGTACAAATGGCGGCGGCGGTCGCCGCGGAAAATGGGAGATTGTTTTATATTCCAGCGCTGACCGCGACACTCGAAAATACATCCCGTGAGCGTATTATTTTAATCTTATTATTCTCATATGACTCTTTCTCTCTCTCTCTCTCTCTCTCTCTCTCTCTCTCTCTCTCTCTCCCCCAAAGTCCCAAAATGACGGAAACGTGAACGCACCCGGCGATCTAGTGAAGATCCTCGAACCGTGAGGCGCGCACAATTGGATCGCATTTCACGGAGAGCAACAGGAAACTAGACAACGATCTAAACACCGGTCGGGGGCCTCCTTTTGTTCCGCCTCTCCAATTGTGTAGCGGCACACGCGCACATGCATGCACGCATCGACACGCAGACACGAACACACAAGGAAACCGCCGCACGGCGCAGCAATTTTTTTCACTGCTCACGCGACCGTCGGCGAACTCGAGCGTTTGTCGGAGCAATTTGTTCGAGCGCGCGAAGGAAAATCTGTTCGCGAGAAGCAGCCGGCGGGGCCGTCACGGAAAGCAACGGCGCGCGGAAAGTCAGCCAGCCAGCCAGTCAATCAGTCCAATCGTTGTCGCCAACGAGGGATGATAATTCGCCGCGGCATCGTGGCCGGAAGTAATGGGTGTATATACCCCGGATTCGTGGGAAATTACGACGTACAACTTGGCAAATTGAATTAGAAAGTTCGCCGCTTTCTCGGACGTCGAGTGTCTCGTTTGTCTCCGCCGAGGCGGCCGCGGTATCGAATTAGGTGCGCGCCGCCACGTGTGCAACCACGAGCGCGTCGCTTTCGGGGCCGCGAATTTGACGAAGGGTGGCGAGTGAGAGAGAGAGAGAGAGAGAGAGAGAGAAGGTGGCAACGCGGTCGCGTCAACAGCAGTGATAGATGTAGCGGGATGAGACATCGTTAATGTTACGGGCTTGGTGTAATGTGACGATATCGAAGAAGGGAGTCTCGATATTGCGGATCGGGGGACTTCAAAGCGACGGGAACCGGCGACAATCGACGAACGGCGAAGTGGAGATTGAATATTAATTAACGGCGCCGTTGCAAAAGGGAGTTTGGTCGGGTGTACACGGCGAAAAGTTCTGCGTTAATAACGGCCTGTCGAAATTTTGCGTTACTCTAACGAGCGGAGCACGTTAAAAGGTAACGTGTTAACTAGGTGAAAATATGTTAATTACGAGTATAATTTAGCTACAGTTATAATTTAATTATGGTTAATTACAAGTGTAATTTAACGTGATATTTGTGTACCTTTTAAGCACGTTCTCTCTGTGTTAAAGTAACGCAAGAATTTCAGCGTACCATTTCCAGCATGAAACTTCGATATCTTATGTAATGGGCGATCAAACGTGACTTGGTAGGAGAAAAAAGTTCTCACGTGTCAAATTTGGTTCTTGTAGTAAAACAAATTTCGTTTCCTTCAACGAAAACGCGTTTATTCCGTCCATTGTCAGGTAGATTCAACCACTCATTTTTCAGCGTGGATGTGGGAAATATCGAATGAATCGCGATATCCCGAGAATTTCCGCGATCCCATATAAAGTGGATTATTTTAGATTCGGAGTGTCAGAATTGCATTGCGGCATTGTCATCTCCCGTGTGTTTGTTAATAACTCGTTTTTGCTCGCTGGACGAAACGGAATTACGGACGAACGAATGTAAACTAATCGGAGACGATCGATTCCAGTACGTAACTTAAAGAGAACGCCCTCAGGGGCGTTCATAAGGACACTCGCTCATTTTCTTTGTTTATCACTCCTTTTTGCAGAGCGAACAACAAAAATATTTGCCGGACGGATCGCGGACAATCGTATCTCGCTCAGAAATGAAAGAAAAACACCGGAAGGGGGTGCTGATGTCAAAATTTGTCCAATTTTTTCTCCGGTCGTAACTTTTTCCCCGCGGGCTGGACGAAAGTATTGTTCGCGTGGACGGGCGAGTGCCGCGCGGGTTTGGAAAAATTTGCGATTCGGGGATGCCGACTTCACGGAGCGCTGAGATATGAGCGACGCGCGCCCAAAGAATAACCGTCGGTCATCCGCGCGAAAGAGTCGTTTGTCGCTGGTGCTGCGTCAGCACCGGGCGAGCGGATCTCGCTTTACTACCCGCTTACCACTTCAAAAGTGATCCGTAACATCCCGATTACCACCCGGTTTATCATTCTATGCCGGGGCTAATCACTCCAAACGTATAGGACGCATTGTGTACAGGCGTCGCGCGACAAACATCGGCCAACTCTTCATACGTTTCGCGGATTCTACGCTGCGCTTTGCTCTTCAACAACAGCCAACGGCAGCTGCAGTAACAGCCGCAGCACAACAACAACAACAACTACTACTACTGCTGCTGCAACATTAACAAGCCAATTTACAATCCTCCTCGATTACCACTCGGCTCGCTATCTTCCCGCATACGCTTCTGTATGTATGTGTGTGTGGATGTGTTTACGCCCATTGCACCGAGCGTAAAGTACATTTTATCGTTCTCCGCTAAACCATACGCGCGCGTGTGAGCTCGCGATCAGACATCGCGGCTGCAATTTTCGCGGGACCGAATGCGAATCCACAGCGAAACGAGAGAGAGAGAGAGAGAGAGGGTGGGAGAGGGATATCCTGCGTGCACTCCGCCCCCGAGTCGCTAATTACGATACGCCGATTACACGGCTTATGACTTTCCATCCAGTGAATCGCGCGGCCGAGCCCACGGCGACGAAGCCGTGCAAAAGGGCCCGGGCTTTGCCTAAACTTCGTGATATTCGGCTACGGGCGCTCGAACGAACAAAGTTTGACCACCTTCAAAGCGTGCCGCGGCGATCGCCGGATTTCCAGGTGGTCGCATCTCCAGCGCGAATCTGGAGTTATCCGGATTGAATCTTAGATCGGCCGGCCGCCCACCGGCAGGTGGGCGAGACCTGCTGATGAACAGTTCGAGTCGGCGCAAACACGCGGAATTATCCACATAGGATATTACCTGGTTTAATTTAATTAAGGGGCTTCCAGTTTCCACCGGTTTTCCACGAAAAATTTCGACTCTGATCCGTGGGAAATCCACGGTGGGTATCGGGCTAAAAGTGTGATGATTACGTAATAAACGCGCGATTCCAAGGGGAAAACCGAGGCAGAGATTCCGTTTCGTTTGCTAAATGTTCCCCCGAAGGTTTCTTCCGATTTTTTTCCATTTGATATCAGAATTGAACGAAACGTGTGAAACACTTTAAACATTTACACCATTTATAATTAATATGTAAATTGTAAATTGCAAAATAATAATATGTAAAATGTATTAATATATAAATGTCCAAGGAGTTCAAACACATAAAATGTGAAGTTTAAATTTCGAAGTTTAAATATTTAAAAACTTTTTCATTTTTTATTCCGCTGCATTCGAAGATACTTTCCGGTTTCCGTTTTATGTCAGAGTTAAACGAAACATACGAGACACTTTGAATATTTACACTTTTCACAGTTATAAATATTTAAAAAGCGTAAATATTTAAAGTGCTTTATATTTTATCGTTTTTTATCGTGTCAATTTCAAAACACGGAGTTTTTTGTTGTCGCAGCAAAATCTGTTGATTATTGCATAGACAACGAAATGATCTGTGTAAGAATACTAATTAACATTTATCGAATTATTTTGCTGAATCTATAAATTATTTTGCTGTAGAACAAATTAGTAAATTAAGAAAACGTTATCTTGATTTAACAGCAAAAAAACACAAATTAAAGAAGGACTTAAATTACGCAAGGACAAATTCACTCAGCAGAATGTTTTCTATCCTGACAAAGAGACTGTTCCCGCTCTAATTATGAATAATTCGCTAATTTAGTTACGCGAACTAAATTTTATTACAGTTGAATATGAAGAAGAATGCTTCTGGGAAAATCTTGAAAAATTCCCGCGCGAATAATTAATATGTCGCGAGGGTGGGAGAACTATTTGCCCTTTTTCGCTCGTGATTTTCTCGAGTATCTTTCTTTTTTACATGACCCGAATCCTCGGACTTTCGCGAATCGATTGAGCAGGTCGGTTCCGCTGAAATCCGCTCGGCTGTTTCTACGTGGAACTGTTTGAACGGTTCGATCGCACGACTCGCCGCGAATCTTTCGAGTCCAAGTTCTGCTTTCGCGTGTCCGCGCAAAAGCTGTAATTTTCCTCGGCGCGGCTGATCGTCCCGACTCGCGAAGGGCGAGCCGAAAGTTCCCGCCGAGTGAAGGTAACGAACTAGTCAGCCTTCGATCTTGACGCATCCGCAGATCGATTAATCGCGACACTTTACGAACAAACGTTCGGTGAACTGGAAATTTGCATCTTAACGAGACCTGAGAAAAATTGTATGTCGTTGCGCGATGGTCCATTGTTATCTGTTTAAATCGATCCACTTTTCCGACGATGCACGGAAAAAGAATTTCCACGGCTAAAATTGGCCCCCGCAGTTGAAAACTAGCTTCCACAGCTAAAAATTGATTGTCCATATAATACAACTGAATTTATTCAATTTAGTTAAATTTTTTTCATGTCTGTACTCAGTAAATTTTAGCTTCCGAAGCTAAAATTTAGTAGCGAAATTTCAATTTTATTGTATAGACGGAGCTAATTTATTGTATAGTATGGAGCTAATTCCTTTTTCCATGTGGAATGACGTCAGTCGAGTTGCATTAATTAATACTCTGGTTTGATCAGAGTTTGCGAATCGAATCGTTTGGCTTAGAAACTTATTGAAAGCTATAAATAATTCAGTGAACGCTTATCCTAGTTTATCGAGATTGAACACAAATCCAATTATCCACAGAGAACTGGTGGAGTTATAAAATTAACCGGGCGCTGTATTTCGATAATAATTGTGGCAGAAGTCACTTGGTTATTTAAGCGAATATCGGATCTCACTGATTTGTATGTTCCATATGTTTTGTCCAGTTCTAACTACGCAAACGGAAAATAGGCAAATCTACGGGAAATCTGGGTCGACCGGATCAAATATGATCTATTCGATTTTCCTATTTATAATCGTATATTTGAAACACATCTTTCCAATTTGAATCCGTTTAAATTTCGCGACCGAGATAAAGTTTTTAATAAATTTACAAACTCGTATTTTTATTTAATTTTTATAAATTTATGAACTTATATTTTTTTATTTAATTTAAATCAGACTGAGCCTTCCAGTTAGATCTCACAAAATTTTTCATATAGATGGCACGTGTCACAAAATGGATTTTCGTCTGTAATTATATCATTGCGTAATTATACGGAGAAAAGTAATTTTGCTGATATAGCGAAATCATCTCATTGTCATTGTATATTCGTTAGAATAGCGATAAAATTTAATTGGCTTAATCAAGTTAGCGAACTATTCATAATCAGAGCAGAAACAATTTTGTCACCGGAATAGAAAACATTTCGCTGAGTGAATTTGTTTTTAGAATAGTTAATTTACTGTTAGAACGAAGTAATAATAAAAATAATCAAATGCATATAAATAACAAAATAAAATAAGTAATACTAATAAACAAGTAATAAAAAATAATTATTAATATAGATAAATAATACAAAAAAAATAATATAATAATAACAAAAATAATAATAAATATTTTCCTGCATTTGCTAATTTGTACAGCAAAATAATCCGGCGAATTAGTGTTCTTAACAACTCATTTTGCTGTCCACCCAGTGACTGACGCGGATTTTGCCGCGGCCGCATAAAATTTGCTGCGCGAGCAGATTTCTATTTCCCCGTGTACGATATCACAGGTTTCGAGCCGTTCATTGCCCACATGTGATCGAGATATCTTCGCGAACGGAAGATTACTCTTCGGCGACTACCTGATGGTGCGCGGACGTCGTCGTCGGAAGAATCGCGCGGCGACACCTGATTTAACGTCGATTCGGGCGCAACCGCGCGCGCCTTCCTCGCACCGGCGCGCACACATCGCGACGTCCCATTCGCGTAGTTAACGAAGTTTCCTCCGGAAACAACGAGGCGTAACGGCCGGGGCGTCTATCCGGTCGATCAGTTTTTGCCGAGCAACGTGAGCGTGCGCTTGCATCCCAAGCAAGCCTGAAATATACACGGTGGCTGTGCGGTAACTCATACATTACCGGGTGGCTGGCTTTTTATTGCTCGTGCGCCGCTGCCGCGCCAATGCCGGCTTGCTTTCACTTTATCGCCCGTGAAATCCAGCCGTCCCGCCGGCGGGACAATATTTCCAGAGTGCCCTCGAAAAAGAGTACGTGCAAAATCCAACACTGACCCGCCGGCTAGTTGACTGGCTGGCTGGCTGGCTGGCTGACTGGCAGCTGGTTGGCTGGTTGGTTGACTGGCTGGCTAGTCTGAATCGCAGTCTGTAATCGGACCGAACGTTGACGCGAACGGAAAAACGTCCTGACTGGGTACCTTCGATGAAATCCGCGGTTTATTCGCGCACTCTCTTCCTCTCGCATCATGGATTACGCGGAGAGTGGATAATAAAAGACGAACGTGCCTCCTTTGAAACTCCGACCTCGTGTGTCTCTATGGTCGATAAAAAATGATTCGTTAATTTTTTAATTGGGCAAATGGTCAGGACTCGCTTTGGGGTCCTTTTGCGGCACTCTGGAGCGTGGATGAACGCTTATCGGCTTGCCGATTTTTACCAAAGCGAATGGAAGGATTACTAGAGCGAGGCTTCCCATCAGTGAAATCCTTGCGAAAGTAAAGTCTTCCTGTGCGAAGGACTGATTAAAAAACGGAACGAACTTTCTCATCGATATTATTACTTAACGTTATTATCCAATCTTTCATTAATTAATGTCTAACATTACTGATTACTACGTGGGGAAAAATAATTTGCTGGCGCAGCAAATTTTATGCTAGCGGAGCGAACCTGTCAGTTACTATGTGGATAGCAAAATGATTTATTACGAGTACTAATTTGTCATTCGCTGAATTATTTTGCTGAATCTATAAATTAAACTGAAATAAGATTTGGTAATAACCGTCACACGTGAATCATAGTTACCAAATATTTTATTGAAATAGTTTCGACTGAAGTAAAAGTGAATATAATTTTATATTATAAATATATAAATATATTGTTTAATAGTACTTACTACATTATGTGGACAACATTAAGAATTATCAGACGATTTAATGATAGTTTCCAATTGCTTTGATAATTGTCAAATTATTTGGTAATTATTACAAAATTATTTGATATTGGTTACCAGATAATTTAATTGAATCAAAGTCTACCAGAATTTGTTTCACTAATTATTATATGATTATTACCAAACAGTTCGTAACTATTATTACATTTGTTACTAATTACTAAATATCATACTAAAACTTTCAAATGAAACGCATTTGTTAACCATTGTGAGACTTTCAGTGTAGTAAATGTAGGAAAACATTATTTTGTTCTAACAGCAAATTAACGTGTCCTAAGGACAAATTCACTCATCAGAATTTTCCCATGAATAATTTGGTTGTGCCAACTAAATTTTATCGCTGTCACTACGAATGTGCGGTAGCAACGACGATGTGTGAGTTTTCGTTACAACAGCAACATTATTGTTCTTCATGCAGTTTCACTGATCTATTACTGTATTTTTATTTTCGCATTTTTTTACATTTTTTTATATTACATTAGTTATAATTACCCCTGTTATACGATTTAATATTCTAAATCAATTGATACTTAACGATATTAAGAACCCTCCCTTTCTCTCCCTTCTCCTCAGAGAGAGAGAGCGCGCGCCTCTGACCTGAAGGGACCGTTTGCGTGTTGCAGGGAGCCTGGAGATGAGCTCGCACGCGAGCGCGGCCCGGCGCGTGATCATGGTGCTGAGCCCCGCGTCCTTGGACAACGTCTGGACGGACGCGAGCGTCGCGGGTGTGCTGAAGCAGCTGTCGGTGCTGCCGGCGCGCACGATCGTGGTCGCGCTGCAGGGTATGCCGGGCACCACGGCGACGATGGCGAAGCGATCGCGACGGGACCGTCGCGACATCCTCGACGGCGCCGGCGTGTTCTACGAGCAGCTGACGGTGCTGCGCTGGAAAGAGGGCGACGGCGGCCGCGAGTTCTGGTACAAACTGCGGCTGGCGATGCCGGCGATACGGCCGGTCGCGTCCGAGACCGGCTGCCAGTCGGTGGCGATGATAGTGCAGGCCAACGGCAAGTGCGGACAGCAGAAGGCGCGCTCGCGCGAGAGCCTCGAGGTCCTCGTTTAGGAACGCGCGTCGCCGTCGACCGTCGCGCGTCGTCGCCCTCGCGGACGACCACCACCGTGGCTTCTTCGCGACCGGCGACGCCGGATTTCGGACGGGTCCTTGAACAACCCCTCTTCCTCCCCTCCCCCCGGGTACCTGCCGAGCCGGCGACCCCGCGGGGAGACGACCCTTCGTCCTAGGCGACGATTCTTACGGCCGGTTCTCACGTCTTTCGCCTTTCTTCCGCGGGAGGATCGCACCGCGTGTCCCTCGCGCGATCCCGACGAGACGACGCAGCGAGGAGAGGATCCCGCGAGCGAGCGCACCAGGTGGGATCCTCTTATCCTCGATACTTCGACTTCCGCGTGGGAGCCGCGCGCGAGCCGACTCGAACAATCGGAAGCTCGCGCGAGAGCTGCTTAGGAACAGAAATCCCGCGCAAAGCCGTTTGACGTAAGCCGCTCGCCCTCCATATGTATCTTCACACCGACGCTAGTCGCTCCCGTCTCTCTCTCTCTCTCCCCCCCCCCCCCCCC